CAGTGTATTATCACCGAAAAACAGTCGCTAATTATAGCAGTTATAAGTACAACACTGTAAATCAGTGAGTATTTTATTGAAAGAATTAGTTAATAATTTTGACTGTTTCAATCAGTAATATTTCTTTTATTATTGTCAGTAATATTAAACTACAATTCATCTCTCTATCTATTTCATGTAAAATTACAAATTTTATTTATATTTACTAAATATTTATATTAAAACTTTTATTTTATTTATATTAGATCCATATTGAATTTGTCATTTTGAAAAGATAACGAACAAATAATTTTCATCAAGTCGCCAGACATTTATTTGTCCGACTCATAGGATCGATTTAATATCTGAAATTAAATCGAAGTAATATTTTTAATTTTATCTGTCCCTCTTTGCAAACTTTATATAATTCTTATGACTAAAACTAAATATGAGAGAGATAGTGATCATAGCGGTAAACGAATAAACTAGCGATGACTGATTTTACAGTGAAATTTACTGGATTTACAGTGAATTTTATTTTAATTGACCATAATCAGTGAGATATAAGATAAAATAACAAAAAAATAATCGCGTTTCCACGGAAAATCAGTAAAATACTCACTGATTTTCAGTGAAATCTTATTTTATTGTTTAAATTAGAGATACTTTCACTGATTCACTTTTAGAGAGTATACACTGCGGAATGTACAGTATCTTCCGCATACATGCGCAAAGACCGCGCATACGTGGCACGACGACAAATCGTAATGCGGTAATAATAGATGCAGTAGCAGCAGCAGCAGCAGCAACAGTTGTCCAGCGGCCGGGGGGGAGAGGGAGATGAAGGGGCGGAAAAGTTACGGGAAGGATAGGCACGGAGTGGGTTAATGAACCTCCCTCTTTCGCCCTCTTCCTCTTCACCCCCTCTCGCGCGAAGCTGCGCAATTTGCGCGTAAATATTTTTACTGGTTTTTACACGGGTCACGTATATACACTTTACATTGTACGCGCGCGTATAACTTCATAAAATACGAGGAGAACAAGCGAGTACCGACATACGTATACTCGCTGACCATTCCGCAAACTCGCGCGCGTGCACACACGACGGAATGCATAATTTATCGAATACGTCGCGATGTTTTACTCTCGCTCGATATTCGCGCTCGATTAGTCCGGGTGGGGTCACGGAAAAGTCGGCGTTAATCGGCGAGATAAGCACCGTTAGACGTCCAAGGCGGACCGACAATCTGCTTGCTGATAACGCGCGTTAATGTGTCGTCTACTTTATAATCATCGCCTGTATTAATAGCGAGCAGCATCTGTTTTCAATCGACCATTTCACATCCAAAGTTAAAATTTAATAATTTTTAGCACATTTGTATCGCGAAAAGTTTTAATAATAATTGTTTGATTATGTTTTATAGGATATTATTACACTGAGAAAAAATCTGGTTGCATTAATTAGAATTCTGGTAGATTCAACCAGTATGTCTGTTGGAAAATGAACGAACCAAAATTCTTGTAGGAATTACCAGGTGAATCTGATTAATTTTACCAAATTTTCTGGTTAATAATACTAAACTCGTCAGGACCAAGTCGTCTAAAATTTTTTCCATCTAATCTCAAAAGTCTGTTTAATATTCTGAATTCCAACAAGATTATTGGATAAATTCAATCTAGATTATTAAATAAATTATTTTAAATTCAGTTTGTTAGAAATTAAACTGATAAACAGTGCACTGAGAAAAAATCTGGTTGCATTAATTAGAATTCTGATAGATTCAACCAGTATTTTTTGTTGGAAAATGGATGAACCAAAATTCTTGTAGGAATTACCAGGTGAATCTGATTAATTTTACCAAATTTTCTGGTTATAATACTAAACTCGCCAACACCAAGTCGTCTACAATTTTTTCTAATCTCAAAAATCTGTTTAATATTTTAAATTCCAACAAGATTATTGGATAAATTCAATCTAGATTATTGAATAAATTATTTTAAATTCAGTTTGTTAGAAATTAAACTGATAAACAGTGCACTGAGAAAAAATCTGGTTGCATTAATTAGAATTCTGATAGATTCAACCAGTATTTTTTGTTGGAAAATGGATGAACCAAAATTCTTGTAGGAATTACCAGGTGAATCTGATTAATTTTACCAAATTTTCTGGTTATAATACTAAACTCGCCAACACCAAGTCGTCTACAATTTTTTCTAATCTCAAAAGTCTGTTTAATATTTTAAATTCCAACAAGATTATTGGATAAATTCAACCCAGATTATTGAATAAATTATTTTAAATTCAGTTTGTTAGAAATTAAACTGATAAACAGTGCACTGAGGAAAAATTTGGTTGCATTAATTAGAATTCTGGTAAATTCAACCAGTATGTCTGTTGGAAAATGGACGAACCAGAATTCTTGTAGGAATTACCAGATGAATCTGATTAATTTCTTCCTGTTAACTTTATCAAATTTGCTGGTTAATAATACTAAACTCGCCAGCACCAAGTTGTTTGTCTAAAATTTTTTCCATCTAATTTCAAAAGTTTGTTTAATATTTTAAATTCCAACAAGATTATTGGATAAATTCAATCCAGATTATTAAATAACTTATTTTAAATTCAGTTTGTTAGAAATTAAACTGATAAACAGTGATGCAAGAAGAGGATGCAGCTGAAACGCACACAATCAGAGAGCTAGCATCCTCTTTCTAGCACTACTGCTCGTAAGAGAAAAAAATATACTTTGGATTTAACGTTAATACTAGTTTTTTATATACATTTCATGGCAAATATTGATGTAACAAGAAATTATTACTGAAAATATTAATGTAATATTAATATAACAAGAAATTGTATAGATCCAACCAGAAAATACTAAACAAATCATTGTAGTAAAATCTATTAAACATTCTAGTTGTAAAAAATCGAGTCTTGTCATGATAATTAGAAATTCTTGTTTGATTTAACCAAAATGCCTTCAATCATATACGTCTTGTTGATACAATCAAACGATTTTTCTCGGTGCACATTTGTATCGCGAAGTTTTAATAATAATTATTTGATTATATTTGACAGGATATTATTATATGCTTTAGGATGAGAGTATGACAGGATATTATTATATGCTTTAGGATGAGAGTATCGTTATACGTTTAAAAAAAATGTTGTAGATTGGTCGCGAATAAAATCCTACGTCGAATATTGGGTCGCGAAACGACTCGCGTGTCGATGCGGGAAGCCTGTGCCAGGCATTAGTCGTACTTGCCCTGTAATCGCAGAAAAGCGACGTTTAAAGGCTCACTTTTTTACGTTGTTTTTTTACGTTTATTATGTCATATAACGTGCACGAGGAGTGGACGCAAAATTGCCGATAACGTCGAGTCGCCGATAAGGTCGGGTGGGCGTATCAGCGGCATCGCATCGTCCTGCCAACCCTTTATTCGCTTAGTCTAGGTCACGCTCCTCGCCGGCCAGACACGGGCAAATGTTTACGCGCGCTCGAGAGGGTGGGATACGTAACGCGTTAAACTGATACGCGACGGCGGTGTACGAAACGATACGGCGGTAGCGTACAAACTATACGGCGTCGTAAACGAGTCCCGACGGTGCGGAGCAGCAGTAAACCGAGTCTGCCGACGTTGCACGTGTGCCAGACGCACGTGCGTGTCGTGGAGGATAACGGAGGAACCGAAAGAACGGAAGGGAAAAGGAGAGACGCGGATGCATTTTATTAAGATATTTAATCGTCGACTTTAAGCGGTGGGATATATTCGATTGCGAGATCAAATTTTTCATCATCTTCAATTCTCACAGATCCGGATATAAACCGGATGCTCTCGACATATTGCACTTTTATAATCAATCCCAACTGGTTTATCGAGAGAGAGAGAGAGATACTCTTTAATGAAATAATCGATGATGAATAATTTTTTTCTAATAGATTTTTTATTCGACATTGATTTTTGCTTCCGGCATTGTTTCCTAATGCAGTGACTTTGCGCGATGCCAGCAGTCGCTCAGAAACGAAAGCAGAAAAAGTCGCGCAGATATTTACCCGAAAATAGATTATTGGAAAACCGTTCAAGAACGCTTAAGAATTTCGGCGGCATCGTGCCTCGCCGCACGACGAGTAAAACGAAGATGACGACGCGGCGCGATAACGCTAGCGAAAAAAAATTCCGCAACGTGTGGCAGTAACATGTGCAATATAGCGTTTAGATGATAGAATGGTAGGAATTCTTGATTAATTTTATAAGCCCCTTTTATCGAGATGTGAGAGAATAACTGAAGAGTAAGCGTATATCTTTTTTAATTATTTTTGAAAAATAAATAAGGGGTGATTTGTTAATATCTCAAGTATATCAATAATACAATTAAAATATAAGAAAAATATAAAACAATACAAAATAATTAAAAAATATCTTTTTTTAAATTTAATTAATATAGATATATTCCTTATTATTTTACAAAATTTTGCCACACTCGTGACACATTATAATAGATTATATCAATGGATAAATATAAGAAAATATTTTTTTTTTCATAAGAATACTTTTCATTGCTTCGTAAAAGGAGTGCTTATCTTTCCTTCGTATCGAAAATTCTTTTGCTCGCGTTTGATGTAGGCAATAATAATTATGCGCAACATATTAATTATTTTTGAAAAATAAATAAGGGGTAATTTGTTAATATCTCAAGTATATCAATAATACAATTAAAATATAAGAAAAATATAAAACAATACAAAATAATTAAAAAATATCTTTTTTTAAATTTAATTAATATAGATATATTCCTTATTATTTTACAAAATTTTGCCACACTCGTGACACATTATAATAGATTATATCAATGGACAAATATAAGAAAACATTTTTTTTTCATAAGAACTTCATAAGACTTTTCATTGCTTCGTAAAAGGAGGGCTTACCTTTCCTTCGTATCGAAAATTCTTTTGCTCGCGTTTGATGTAGGCAATAATTATGCGCAACATATTAATTAGCCGTTTGATTTACAGCTTTTCGTGACGAAGGAGATAAGGGAGGGGAAGGCCTCGACCCGCGGCACATGGCTCATTAAATGCACGTACATTACGCATCGTAACATGTGCATATACGTATCTATCGTAATACGCGATATCGTCGAATTGTTTGTTATGTGTTCGGAGGTGCTAATGTGCGTGCGTGAATATACATGCAGAAAGTTGCGGAAATACACGTCGGCAATTCGCGGGGTTAAATCGAACTTAATCCCAGAATATCGGAATTCTTCAATTACGCGCGCTACCTAGCCAGGGTTTTTATCAATAATATTAGGTACGTTCGACTGAAACATAGACAGACTTGACCAACGACTTTTTAATTTTCATTTTTACTGATATATGTAATGATTATTATTTTACAAGATTTATATTTCTATTGATGCATTTGACCGTAAATTTGTTACATTATTTAATTTACGTTAATAATGAATAAATATACAATTGTATAATCGAAAAGTGGAGCATCGGAATCTTTGCATTTATGCATTGGTTTAAAAAAATCTTTTTCTAGAGCTGTATAAGAAAATAAACATTTTTACGCGAACGACAGGAAGAAAGAAAAAAATGTGATTAAAAAGACACGCGTTTTTCATAAAGTACAAGTGTGTTTTTTTGCCAGTTGTATAAGGTTCAAGAAAATATGTACGTACGTACGCGCGAAGCGCGTTGTTTGTATCAAAGGAAGCAAATTAAAAACGAAAGCGCCAGAAAAGTCCGCGAGAAAATCCTCGCGTTTTCTTCCTTCCTTTCGTCCTTTCGACGCGCACGCGAGACATTTTTCACGTCTTTCGACTCCCCCCCCTCTCTCTCTCTCTCTCTCTCTCCTTCTCCACCACCCTCTCTTTCCTCTCTCGATCCGCCGCTTCGCGCGGCTTTTTCTTCCTCTTTCCTCGTTCATCCTTCGTGAAGCGCCGCGAGAGTTGTAAACAACTTGCCTGCCCTCCTGGAAACATCCCCATAAAGTATGTTTTATCTATCGTAAATCGATGGAGCGGCGTATTTCACCGGCGCGCTGTTATACAATGCGGCTCAATTAATGCCAAACCGTTGCTCTGATTTATTTCTTAACTCGGCCGCGCCGCTGCATCGCGATAATCGGCTCCGTATACGGTATACGACGATCGACCGTGAACGCTCGCCTCGCTCTCGAGGTTCGCGTAATAGTTGCTGGGTTTACGCGGTAAACAGTTTAAACCGACGACGTCGAGGTATCGTCGAAGCCCTCCTGTTCGCACGTCGATCACTTTCAATGAAGAACTTATGCTAATGTCTTTATACGTCATCTCTTGATCCTTTAGTCGCGCGGCAACGAAAGATCGATGGGATTGATAAGCTGGATGATAGCATTTTAAGTGCATCGTGCCATTTTTTTTTACCATCAACGCGTCACATTGATAATTTTAATTTTTTTTTTCTTCTACTCCTTCTCTCGCATTTTTTCGTTTAGTATTGTGTATTATTTAATACGTGTTTCGATGCGAATAGTTTTTATTACGGCGACATTTAGCACGTGGACGTGTCTCATCGGGTGATTCTCTTTCAGATGCGCTTCTTGCGTTACCCGGTAAGTCGCGCGAGCCATAAAGCAACAAGGCAAGAAAGATGCCCGCGGAGCGAACGCGTCTGCGAAATTTGAGCCGCGAAATGCGCGAGCAGCAAGAACGAGGACCGTCACCGCCCACCTTCCGCTTCGCAGAATCCGTCAAACAATGAGACGATACTCGGAACGACCGGTATTCCTTCAATAGCAAGACCGCGTGCTTGGCTCCCGACGTTGCATTAGTTTCCATTATTCCGGCCATTGTTCCGCGTATAACCCCCCGCCGTCTTCGCCAGCCCTTTTGCAGCTTCCGGTGGTTGTGCGACTTGCAAGACGACGACTCGCGGAAGTCTTTGAGCTTCTCGGAAAGCCAATCCGTGCAAAGGTAACCGAATACGACGCGCTACCGACTTGAGAAACTCGTATATACATCTTGCTTTAATTTCAATATCTTGTCATGCGCAAGAATCGAAAGAAATTATTATATTTACACAGAGAAAAATCGTTGGATTGTACCAACAAGACGCATATGATTGAAGGCATTTTGATTAAATCAAATAAGAATTTCTAGTTATCGTGATAAGACTCGATGTTTTATAACTAGAACGTTTAATAGATTTTACTACAAGGATTTGGTTGATATTTTCTGGTTGGATCTATCAAATTTCTTGTTACATTAATTTCTTTGTTTGCCTCTCTTAACTTAACTCGTATTCAATATTTGCCGTGAAATGTATATAAAGAACTAGTATTAACGTTAAATCCAAAGTATATTTTTTTTCTCTTACGAGCAGTAGTACCAGAAAGAGACGCTAGCTCTCTGATTGTGTGTGTTTGAGCTGCATCCTCTTCTTGCATCACTGTTTATCAGTTTAATTTCTAACAAACTGAATTTAAAATAATTTATTCGATAATCTGGATTGAATTTATTCAATAATCTTGTTGGAATTTAAAATATTAAACAGACTTTTGAGATTAGAAAAAAGACGACTTGATGTTGGCGAGTTTAGTATTATTAACCAGAAAATTTTGTAAAATTAATCAGATTCACCTGATAATTCCTACAAGAATTTTGGTTCGTCCATTTTCCAACAAACATACCGGTTGAATCTACCAGAATTCTAATTAATGCAACCAGATTTTTTTCTCAGTGTACTGTTTATCAGTTTAATTTCTAACAAACTTAATTTAAAATAATTTATTTGATAATCTGGATTGAATTTATGCAATAATCATGTTGGAATTCAGAATATTAAACAGACTTTTGAGATTAGATGGAAAAAATTTTAGACGACTTGATGCTGGCGAGTTTAGTATTATTAACCAGAAAATTTGGTAAATTTTTGCAGAAAGAAATTAATCAGATTCATCTGGTAATTCCTACAAGAATTCTGGTTCGTCCATTTTCAACAGACATACTAGTTGAATCTACTAAAATTCTAATTAATGCAACCACACAGAGAAAAATGTATACTGTATTCAAGTAAATATTATTTATTTTAAGTATATCATAAGTTTGTATATGCGCAAATATTATATATCATAAGTTCATCACAAGCATTAAATTTAATTAAATATATTCTGCATTTTAGTAACTGCATTTTAGTCAAGAATATTAAATTAAAACAAAAATTGCAGTATTTTAGTCAAGAATATTAAATTAAAACAAAAATTTGGTGGTTTGCTTACCACATAAAGTAAGTTTGATTTTTCTTTGATATAAGCTTACAATATTCTTGAAGAGAAAATAAATTCTTCTTTTGAGTACATGACAATGAGATTTTCCAACACTTGTGATGAGTATATTTTAAGACTATTATCAAGAATTCTTTGTTGAGGAAAATTATTACTTAAAAAAAGAAAAATAAATTAAGTAATCGTTTTTCTTGGCAGTAGAATGATATTTTTCTCTGTGCAGATTTTTTTCTCAGTACAGATACTCTGAAAATCGAAGGAAAATTGCCTAGAGTACGATTGTATTAGATTGTATATTTATTTAATTACAATTAACATTTTAAAAATGACTCGAATCTTTATATAGTCATTTTAAAAAATTAGGTCGGTATAGGAAAAAAATGTTGGTGGCCGACTTGTTGGCTTTTCGATTCACGTAAGAGGTATCGTCCGTAGTTGGCCGCAGTCTGGATGCAACCGCGAGCACGATCGCCTTAACCGCGCTTCGAACGCGCTTCCGACAGTTCTCGCGGGCGGTTTCCATGGGCAATGTCAGTCGCAGGCGGTGGTTATAGCGCCGTGACGTCTTCCTCACGGATGTGAGAATGCACAGACGCGTCTTTCGCGCGATAATAACTCACGAGTGACGCGCGGCGTTACCTATTCCCGCAACAATCCCGCCGTCTGCGAGAGAGATTAATTTAATTCACCGCGGATAACGTTGCGGAAACGCGCCTCGAAGGAGGAAAAAGGGGGGTTCGATCGTTATGTCGCGATCGGAACAAATACATCAGATGTCTCTCGCCTGTATGTATATATCGAGAAAAGTGATCAATTATTCCATTAGCTATAAATATTTTATTATCGAATTATTGCAGGTAGATTCATTCTTGAGAAGAATCTTAAATGTCCCTTAAATTGACTCGTGAGAATGGAAAAATAATTTTGAGAAATCTAAATTAATTAGAAAATGGAAAATAATACAAGAAACTGCTTAAAGTTAATTTTAAAATTTACATGCGATAAGAATTTAAAAAATGTTTGATCGAGATAGAAATAAAATAAAACCATATATGAAAAAAGTTTGTTTAATTTTTGTTAATCAAAATTATTTATCGCGTAATTATTAAAGGGAGAAGAGAGAATACCTCGTAATAGTACAAGGCAAAATTATTTTAAGATATTTCTCGAGCTGATTTTTGTTTCAATTTCTTCAACATTGGTCCGAAAGATTCTAGCATTCGGCAAAATCGGAAGAATTCAAATGACTTGCCGACTTGGAAAATTAATCGAAGGCGAACGCACGATTATTTCGATCACTCGCAATTGATATCGTGACAAAAACAACAAACGCTGCACATTACGATCGTCGGCAATCGGCGCGGGGCGATAAGATTGGTCTTTAATCTCGATCGGAAATTTTCCTTCTCCTTCTTTCTTCCTTTCCTTCATTCTTCCTCTAACCGACGATTCCGTGAAAACACTTCTTGCCTCGTACTCGTAGTCTCGGGCCGGGGCGAGCTGCGTGGGAAATCGCGGGCGGTTGGTAATTTCTCCGGCCTGATTCTGCCGGCAGCGCGCGTGGATTATCTACAGCATCCCGACTCGAAATATATAGATACGTTATGTACCACGACTCGAACAGCCTCGCGATTTAAAGTCCAGGTCGAAACGCGAGCAGGGATTCCTGCGATTCTTATTAAAGCGTAATCAAACGGAACCGAAACTGACGCGAAGATGTATCGTCGCCTTCTGGGAGATGCAAAATAAATGCCTTCACGGTTGAATTCGCGAAAAGACGCGATTGAAAAAAATGTTTTACGATCGAGCAACGAATTGGAAACGAGATGTGTAAAAAAGACGGCAACAATGATGCGTGGGAATAATTGTAGCAAGCTCTCTTCAACGGTCGGATTCGG